AGAGACTATGTAAAGGTGCAAATTTCCAATGATGAATGTCATTATATTGTATACCTAAAATGTGGCAATAAAATAAAATTTTTAAAAAGAAAGAAAGAAAGAAGGCTTTAACCAGGGTCTCAAAAAAAAAAAAAAAGGAAAAGGGCCTTAAAATAATAAAAATTTAAGGGATACATTAGGTATAAAGAGGGCAAGTGGTTTATTTCATAATGTTTTTCTGCAATTTGTAAGTTTTCTGCAATGGCCTTATAATACTATTGTGATCCAAAAAAAAATAAGATTCAGAAATTTAGGTGGAAACCTGCAGAGGACCGTAATACTGATCGTGCCCCAGGCAGGCTGTGAGGAGCTAACCCCACAACTGGCTTGTTTTGAGAAGTGAGTCTGGCCGAAGCCTACGTGCTGAGGTCAGAGTAACTCGCACCCAAGTTCCATTGCCACAACTAAACCTTCAGACCAGGAGGACAGTGTTCCAATTATAGTCATATATTTTGTCTATTCTGTTCCTACTTTGAGAAAGCTTTATCTTGTCCTTTATGAGCTTTGTTTACATTAATTTCCATAGAAACCACTTGCAGCTCGCCTTTAACCCAATTGATTGCCAATAAAAGCCAGTGCCTGGGACTGGCCAGTACCTTTGTCAGTTGCACCTGCTCGTCCTAGTGCTCCACTTTCTCTCCTAGGTCTGTCTCTCAGTGTATTTTTCTCAGGCCTACATCATATACTGGGCAGGTAGGGACTGGAACCTGACTGCAGGGGTCTCTGGTAGAAACCTACAGGGCAAGTAAATAGGTTAAAGAAAAAAAGATGTTACTTTTAGAAGTTAAGTAAGTAAAAGTAACATTTGTGTTGGAAATGTTGCTGTATAGGGTGTATTTTTAAGATCGAAGGACAATAATAAGAACTTTACACTGGGCATTTACCATATTATTGAAACAATTCCCACTACCTCAAATAAATTATCTCATTTAATTTTCATCACAACCCTAAAAAGTAAAATAATTGTTAATAGTCCCATTTTTCAGATAAGGAAACAGAATAGAAAAGTGGAAACGAATAGAAAAGTCAAGTAATTTGTGTCAGGAATACAGAGTACTTAGAATAATCAGTATCCAAAATTGATTTTAAAACATTTTTTAACACCTAATCCCTACCCAATAAGGAGCTCTAAAAAAATTCAATAAAAGTCATTCAGATTATAAAACATTAAGAAATTTAAAAGTTGTCAAGGCAGGGGATTTAGCTTAGTGGTTTCGCTGCCTGCTGTGCAAGCACAAGGACTGGAGTTCGATCCCCGGTACCAAAAAAAAAAAAAAAAGTTGTCAAATGCGGATGCATTTAAGCTAGAGTGAACTGTTAAAAACTGTCTGTATTTAGATTCATATAATTCATTATAACCTCCAAAGAAGGCTTAGAGACACGTTAGCTATACCAAGAGCCTACTGTATCAGTATTTCTTTGAGAATTCAAGCTCAACTACTAGCAATAAACACAGGCAGTGTCATCATAACTATAGAACACAACTATAGAATGTAACTCGATATTAGTATATGATCCATCTCATTTTAATTTGTCACCTTTTTCCCAGACAACCAAGGCTGTGCCTGGAGGACAAGAGCACTCTCTCCATTCAGCCTGGTGCTCTCAACTGAGTGGAGTGTGGTCCAGTAGAGGTATCCACCCACGGAGTCCACCGCCATGTCATTCACCAACAGCTTCACATGCGTGACCATGTCGCTGTGTCCCGTCAGCACAGACTGCCTTTGGATCTAAGGACATGACAGCATAGTCAGCTAGAACTTTTCAAATGACATCTCTACTTCCAAAGAGTTTACAGTAATCATTAGTGAACTGTTCCATTCATTCATTCAACCACAAGTATATATCAACATTGTGCTAGGCAGTGTGCCAAGCCTTGTAAACACAATGAAAACAGGCACAGCTCCCGCCTTCATGGAACTTACCTCCTTTTATCCCTAAAGGGAAAGGAAATAAATTTATTTTCAGTAAAATCGCTCAGTGTTCCTAACTGTATCTCCAGAAAATCAAGCACTCGTGGATGAAAGTGTTTGACCGGATTCCTGAAGAAGATGTGCTCCTGGAATGAGGGCCTCGCTCCCTGCTCCCATCTCATGCACCTCCTGCTTAGGCATCATCAGCATCACCCAGGACCTGCGCCATGCCAGGAAGTGCACTGTTTTATCTTAAGCCTTTAGGAATTTCTATTCTCTATTTTTTTTCCTCACAAGCAAACTGGGTTAAATGAAGTGAAGCAATTTGTCCTGGAGTTAACTTGCTCAATAAATAGAAACAGAGCAAATGCTAGAAGCTAGTTCATATATCTGCTCTTCTACCTCCTTCAAAACTAGTTTTAAACTAAACCATTTCAGGAAGCATTCCCTGAGTAGTGTCCTCAGCTTCACCTTACCTGTCATTTACACCACGAATCAGGCTGTGTCGTGCGGCTTTGCCTCTAAATACACTACTTTTTCTTATTATTGCTGTATCTCATCAAAGCAGCAGAAGTAATGGTTGCACAACACTGAATGTAGTAAAAGCCCCCAAATTCTACACAATAAAAGGTGAGTTTTATGGTATGCGAATTAGACACTGATAAAGCTTTAAGAACAGAGACACAGCTACTATGGACGTTTATCCCTCTATCCCTCCTCTCAAGACTCCCCACACATCGCTAGTAGATAAATGATGGCCAAACAGATCCGTGGGTGGACAGCAAGCAACCCTCATGAGGAAATGGCTGCAGCGTTGTATCTTCTGATGCGTCCAGCCAGTGTTCTCGCCCTTGGCCAGCACCTTGCTCCTTGGTGCATCACCACACAGGTCTGCTGGAGGCTCACATGTTGGCCCAGGAGCACCTTTTCTTCCCCAGAGGCTGGACTGGCCAGGCTCCCTGGCCCTCTGGCTTCCAGGAAGGTGCAGCCAAGGGAAGCCCTGGCAGGAGGAAGGGGTCAGGGTGCTTGTTCCCCGGGCTTGCTCGGGGCCAGACGGTGGACTTTGCCGGCATCTACAGTCCCAGTTCCTATCTCCAACTCTCCTACAGCTCAGGCCTCTGCAGGTCCTTTGCCTTCTCCCTTCCTTGTCTGTCCAGGGACTTCTGTTCTTCCAAACTTCTTATTCCAGCATGTGCTTTGCTGTCCCTGGCTCATCTTCCCCAGCCCTGCCCACACCTTTGGAAACAGCCTTTGAAATCTGTCGTCTTCTGCCAAGATCCTCAAGTGGGCATTTTAATGGATTTATTTTAAGATGTGAGTGAAATTATAGAACTAGTACACCCAGTAGTGATATACAATTTCACTTATACATAAATTCACTTTAAAAGGAAGTAAGTTTAGAGACAAATATTACCTAAGTGGCACAGAACTCTGAGCACCCAGGGTGCCAGATTCTCACTTACCACGTGCATCTTTCCAGCCCAGTAGAGAAAGCGACCCAACCACTCAAAAGCCAAAGCTCCTGCCCCTGCAATGCTGGGGATGCGATGGCTCTCTGAGACCCCTGATCCACTCAGCAGTCACACGTGAACCTCTCCTCTGGTGTCACTATAGTACAGGCTATTGTTATACCAATCCATGTCTCCAAAGAAAAAGAAAACATCATTACCAGTTATTTTTTGTGTACACAAAGAAAATGTAAGCACCTCAATATGATTTTAACGCATGTACTGATGCCAATATCCCCTAGAACTTCAGGGATTTGTCAAGCATGTTTCAATAACGTAAACTCAGAATTTTAAGTCCTGGAACTGGACAAAGAAATGCATACTCTAGATTGAGATATTGTCTTTTAATAGCCAATCCAATCAATAAAATGATCAAATAATTATAGAAGATGCCATCTTCAGGAAGATCACTGTTATCCCATCTAGGAGTAAAGATTTTTCTTCTTCTGGGCAACGTTATCCTTCATTACTTAATAACCCTCTTTGTCAACAAATTCTTATCAAGAACTCTGTACAACAGTTCCTGGATCCAGTCGTATGGCAAACTCAGAGTGAATGGCCTAAGAATCGCTTTCTTTGTGGAATGAGAGCCTGTCACAGTGAAATAACATCATAGACTAAAATACAAGAACATTTATCGGGCTGGGGATTTAGCTCAGTGGTTCTGCCACTGGCCTTGCGAGCACAAAGTCCCAAGTTTGATCCCCCGTTCCAAAAATAAAAACAAATATGAGCATTTATCAAGGCCTTCCTGAAGTGGGTATGAATCAGTAAGTAACCTCATATTTTGTGGATTAATAAAATTAATAAATAGCATTCTTACTTAAGAACTGACTTTCTTAACAATATCACTGGCACTGTCATCTAGTCAGCGTGTTTTCTTTTCACTGTTAACCTAATAGCAAGCAAGTGATTCTTTCCATTTGTTAAATGCCTCAAGAAGTGCCAGGAGCAGAACCTGGCAGGTCAGTGAACAAGGACATTTACCTGACACATTCCCTATGTCAGAGGATGAGAACTCTGCCCGGCCAAAGCTGCTCAGTGCTTTACTCCAAAGCCCATCTTCTTTCACAGCCATGATAAGTGGTGGCTCTGTAGCTGTTTGATTAAAAATTTTTAAAAAGAAATATCATAGGAAGAATTTTTTATTTTATTTTGTTTTTGTTTTTTTCGGGGTTTTTTTTTTTGTACTGGGGCTCAAACTCAGGTCCTTGCGCTTGCACAGCAGGCGGCAAAACCACTGAGCTAAATCCCCGGCCCAAGAATTTTTTAGATACAAGTCTTTTTAAAGTAGAAATGCAAAGTTTATGGTTATAGTCACACATTATAAAGTGATATAAAGTAATAAATGATCATGATAAATCCAGTATTCGTTTGTATGGCTGGAATGTGTCCTACGGAAGTCCACGTGTCAGAAACATGGTTCTCAGTGCAGCAGTTGGAAGGCGTCAGACTTCCAAACATGACACCTGGTGCCCTCTGCCATGCATGATGCAGAAAGAAGGCCTCACGCTCTCAGAGTTCAGTGACAGGAATGGAAGATGGAATAGGACCTCACTTAGAGCAGAAATACAGAGCATGAATTAAGCTTCTATGCATTATGATTTTGTGTGTGCTTGTTATAAAAAAGTCCACTATTGTTTCATCTTCTTGAATCAAAACCACACTATCCCAAGGCAAAACAACTCATCCATCTATTGCTAAGCTTCATCCAGAGAGGAGAGAAGGTGAATAGTTTTTACTTTACATGGGCTCTTAATAAGCATCTCACAAATTGAAGGAAATTATACCACTGTGAATGTGTCTAATATAAGGACCCTCTATCCAAACTTCTGTAACATCTCATTAAGGCATTATTTTCAAAGTGACTCATAACTCAACCCTGTTGAATTCTCTTCTATCTTAATTTGCTTGTGATATTTCCCATCTTTTTTTCTTGGTCCTAGTATTTCTTTGTTTCCTGCTCTATCCATGCAGCCAGGAATTTTTCTCCGAGATACATTTCTTCATGTAGTCTTTGCTGCCTCTCAGAACCTCAGGAGCAGATCAGTCTCCTCCTGGTGACACACCGGAGCCTGTGGGCATCGGGACTTGGAGTTGAGTTCCCTGCCCACTTCAGCACAGCCACTGTGGCTATGCCCTCCACATGCTGTCCCTGGCAGGATTTCACCATCAGTCCCTACACACAAGGCTTACACTTCAATATTTCCTTTCTAAGGTAAAAGAATATCACCATTTTGAAAAAGTCTGTAGAAGGATAGGAGTGATTGTATCTGCTTGATAGAATTAGAGCTCACATTATTCAAACACTCTTATTTTTATACAAATCTTTGAGATGGAACATGAAGAAACATCTGCAGCAATATGGCAGTGTTGTGTTCATGATAGATATTTTTCCTCCGGTAGCTACTGTTTGCCAAGGTTCCATTCAGGATACCCAGAAGCAACTGTGATAACAACAGCAGGATAAATGATAAAGTTATCCTCTACTCTTCCACCAGAAGATGAGATTCAAAATAATTCATAGCCCCTCAACTCCTTCACCATAACTCAGAGTTCAGGAATGCCATGGCTTAACAAACCATAAGCAAAAGGAAACCAGGAAAGAGAAGGAAAGTATCTTGCTTTCTAAAATGTATTTGGGAAACTAAAATACTAAGTTAGAAAGACAAACACCACACTAATTTATTTGCTCTCCTAATTACAGGTAAAAACACATCCCCAAGAGGTCAATACCTCTATTCTAATTTCTCCATCACATTGGAGGCAAGGAATTGGAAAGGACTTTTCCCTAAATGTGTAACATTTCTTACCTGGCACAAGGGTTGTGCCCACCCAGGGCTCTGACCAGGGGCCTGGCCCCTTGGGAGAACTTGCTTGCACAGAGACCTTGTATTTCACAGCACTCTGCAGCCCAGGTATATTAAGCATGGCTCCCCGTATGTTAGAGAAAGTGTGAGTAGACTCAGGAAGGTCCTGGGTGGATACCTGTACCTCGTAAGTCCAGTTCTGCCAGGCGGAAGGGCCTAAAAAGAAGACTTCAACAATGTCACTGACTAGGACAACATCAGCAAGAGCGAACCAAAGATCATCAACAAATCCATCACCACTTTCTCCAGAGCCCATTATCTAACTAGTCATCAGGGTCATTGGGCCATAAGCCTAGGACCATGCTCGTTCCTGCTGTGCTGCTCACTTTCCTCTACTGAAGGAAACATTGTGGCACCAGGAGACTGTCCTTCCATCAAAGATGCATGGTTGCTCACAGGATTGTAAGAGGGATCTCTGTAATATTGCTAGGTATAACCAGGGTCTTCAAAAAATGATTAATGATGAATCTTCAGTACCTTTCCCAGGGTTCACATAGGACCTCCAAGATGCCCAATCAATATGGGGGGGGGAGCCTATTCATTTTCACCATTTTTGAGATATGCAACAGACAGGCATAATTCACTTTTGTCTTAAATAAAAAGTTTCCAGTGTTAGCTAAATACTACTGCCTAGAGGACCAGGGACTGGGAAACTACAGCCAAATCTGGCCCACCACCTATTTCTGAAAATAGAGCTGTACTAAACTCAGCCTCGGTTATTTATTTACACCCTGACTGTGGCTGTTCCGTGCTACAAGGCTCTGACCTTGATTAGCTGTGATAGAGACCAACTTACTCGCAAAGCTGAAATTATTTACTACCTGGCCTTTCCTTTCCCAAGACATTTGTTGACCTTGGTGCTAGATACTATTCTGTTTTCTCTTTACCCTAATTTGATCTGTACAACAGTCCCACACAAAGATATAATTAATACTCTCATTCACTACAGCATGCAGGGAAACCTGGGCACAAAGTGGCCAAATAAGTTGTCCAAGATCATTCTACTGTCACTAATTACTTGTGTGGGGGTAATTTTGCTGTCAAGATCAGTACTGAATCCATGCAGGCTGGCTCCAGAGCCTACCTGCTGACCCACCACACACACTGCTTCTCTAGAGACAGAGATTCAAATTCAGAGAATTTTAGAAAGTTGTTCAAATTCATGCATGATCTCATCCCAAATATCCTGTTCCCTGGGCTGATAGTAGTAGCTACTCCTAGTCGCTGTTAGTAGATGCTCAATAAATTGTGAAATTATTCTATTGGGAGATCCTCCTACTTCAAAACTATGAAAAAATCATTTTCAAAAACTGAAAAACAAGTGTAAAAATACCTTTCTTAAAAGCTAAGCAGCTGCTTCTGGTTGATGCCTGACTCTATGCGGGCTCCCAAAATTGAATCCCAGCTCCATGCAGTCCAAGCCCACCTCCTTCCAGCAGACCAGCACCCAACCCTAGGCACAGGACACTCACTGGCTCCAATGGGGAGGGCAGGAGGCTTCCACTGAACAAGGGCCTGGTGAGACCCAAACAGCACAGAGATGTCCCTTGGGTGATGTGGGACAGGGTGTGGCTGGACGGAGGAACTGAAGATGACCAAGTTACCAAACCCAAATTCTTCTACATGACTCAGGTCACATCCCACAATGAACTCATTAAAAGACATAGAGTCCTGTCGGAAAATGGCTTTGCCATCTGTCACAAGGAAGTCATTGTTTTCACAAGCAAAGCTCTGCACATCAGCAAAGGGGAACTGAGAAAGGACAGGACAGGAAGCAGAGCCATCCAGAAATGTTGACATGAAGACTTGGGAGGTGTCATTGAAGTAAATGATCCGCTTGGACTGTGGTTTTATTGCAAAGTCTTTTAATGTGCAACTCTCCACGATGCGCACAGGTTTGGCATCTCTGACAGATGGCCCAGGGAGATCGACTCTGTAAATGCCATCTCTCAGGAGATAAAAGATGTACCTGATGGTGAAACAAAAGAAGTCAGGGCAGATGAGTCAACTACTTGGCTAAGTGCTTTAGCCTGTTGTACAACCAGAACCAGGTATCTCTGGAGCCACAGGTTCTCCAAGGTGCAAAGGGCAAAGGTCATTACCAAAGATATGCTCTACTCATTTAAGTCAGAAGTTAGAAGATTAGAAAATTTCAGCCTCACTTGTAATGTTTAGTCTCTACTATAAGTGGCTTTTTAAGGAATCACAGAATTTAAGAACAAAAAGAGGCTTTAAAGACTTCAAAGCAAAGCATGTTATATAAAAAGCACATAACTAAATATGTTATATACTGTAAAGCACCTTCCTCCAAACTACACAAAGTCTTAAGTCTAATTCCATCAATAAATCTTCTCACGCATTATGAATGATAAGTGGAAGAAAGCAAAACATTTAAACTATTCATTTTCTAAATACACTGTTATCATTTCACTATAACAAATATAACTACTAAGCATTTGTTAGTCTACATGGTTTTAGAATATCTACAATTGAGACAGGCAGTAGTAAATGTTTGATCTTAACAAACCAAGAAGAAATATCCCACAAGCGACCAAAGCAGTTGGCCAGGACCACCCAGCAATCAGGCGAAAGGAGTCAACAGAAGAGTTAAAAAACCACACCCGATGTGAAGCAGAACCCCATGGTAATAAGACAAGCAATCTCTTAATAATGAAAAAGAAACCACACCACCAACATAGTTCCCTGATAGTCAAATCTGTAAGTGGATTTTTAACTAAAATATAAAATCATTCATTTGTAGGTACTTAATTTAGAATTTATGGCCACAAATACAGAAGCTAGTGAAAGTACACTTTTGCGTGGCAAATTCTTGTTATTATAACCCAGTAGGTTGGCAGCATTGCAGCCTCCATCACAAGTGACAAGTCATTTTCCTGCCATTATTCAGTGCATTCTTATTCTTCTTGTTGACCATTCCAAATCTTTGTCCATATGCTCAAGACTCTCATGCTAAAGTCATATCCTGAAATACAAGCTACACTTCAAGATACAAAGGTACATTCTCTTTCTTGAGGGAGGGTATAGCAGGCAACAAAAAAGAGGCATAGTTCTTCTCAAATTCAACATGTTAATGGAATTCGGAAGAATTTCAGAGCAGATAAAAGGAAACATATCTGGAGTAAAGATGCACAATTCTTGTATAAAGCACGGAGTTGTGCAGCTCTTTAACCCTGACCACTACTTTGGAAGAGAAAGAGAAGGAGAGGAGAGCTGGGGAGTGGGAGGAGGACGACAATGGGGAGAAGAAATAGCAAGCATGAAAGACCAAGGACCCCAGGAGAGGGAAAGGGGAAGGGAAGAGTGACAGCAAGCAGAAGCTCAGTGAGAGAATCTTCAGCCACGCAGAAATGACAGCACAATGCCAGCTGTACCAGATGTTCTGTGAGAGCATCTTTAAAAACTGCTGCCAAGAGTGACACGCTAGTTTCTACAGAAATTCTCCTGTCCTGCTCCAGGAAGACAGTTAGGAATAGGTTCTGGTGCAAGATGCCCAGTCCAGGTTCCACTGCAAAATAGTTTCTTGGACAGTTACTAAATCAACCTGGGCTTCACTTCCTCATATCCAATGAGAGTAGCTTCCTCATGGGGTTGAACAACGGTAAAATGAATTATTGGAAGCAATACACTTAGAAACACACGAGGATAAGCACACTAGTAAAAATACTGGTTTTCATGATCATTTCTAGGCACATTTCAAAATTTAAGCACAAATCAATTTTATCCTATCCTACTAGGGGAAAAGGAGCCACTGACTTCCTCACTAAGATATCTTTGAAGGACTAACTTAGTGGATAAAGTTCATTATCCTCAGAATGAGTCATTTTGTGTAATTACCAACAGCAAGGTTACATTTCATAGGATCTTAGACCTTTATAAATAAGTTCTAGAGCATCCAAAGGACTTGCCCTATTTCATAAGGTTTTAAAAATATTCTATAATTCAGTGATTCATTCAAACCTAAAGTGAAAATGATCCTAGTAAAATTTAAAAGCATATGAACAGAAAAGTTTGATTTTTAAATCAATAATTTTTTTCAAGAAAATCAATTTATTTAAAGTAAAATTTTATGGGCTTTTTCTTCATTCAAGATGAGAACAACTTCATTCCTACAAGAAAGAAAAAAATATTTACCCACATTGGCCTTGCTTATTGGTTTCTAACTTGTTCTTATTTGAATATATTTTTAAAATTACAGCCCCCAAATAACTTTCTATGTTTTCATCTTTCACATTCATGTACACTTGGGGTTCACAAAATCTAATCACATACCTCATTTAACCTCAAAATAACCCAACCAGGTATTATCTTCCCTATAGGGACAGATAAACAAATGAGCACAGTCATGGAGTTCCTTGTTCGAGATCCTACTGCAGTTTAGCAGCACAACTGAACTCAAAAGTTCCCATTTCTCTTGTGACAGGAGAGAAAAATGCTATGTCATTAAAAATTGCACTAGTTGTTAATCATCAAATTCTGTCTCCTAAGAGTGGAGGCCAGTAGGTTTCCTGACAGACAAGAGAAGCAGACCAGGGAGACGACTGCTCAGCAAAGATGTGCATAGAATCAAGGGGCTTCTCACAGGGAGCCCTGAGGGAACAAGAGGTGCTGAGCATGACAATACCAGGCTAGAACCCACGTCCCTCAGCCCCTGGACAAAGTCTTTCTTGTATACCTATACCTATTTTGCTGTAGAGGAGGAGTCAATCAAACTTAAAAGAAATGTTGTGGTTCTTTGGAAAGAAAAGTTTGCCTGGAAATTTACTGGAATAGGCCTGAAATAAGATGCCTAGATCATCTGGTGCTACAATTTCATTAGCAAGTAAATTTCACCAGGATTTTTGCCAAAGGAAGAGACTCCATCTCCAGGAGCCTGACACTTACTTACCCATTGTAGGCATCAGCCACAAGTTTTTGAGGTGCTATAATAGAGGCCGGAGTAATTTCCTCAAAGTTTGAGCAGATCTCTAAATCACAAACATATACCTAGAGAACTGAAAATGGATCAGAAGGAATCGTGTCTGTCTGTGCTCAATTCAGCCAACAAGCATTTCCCGAGCAATTTCCTGTTCCATGCCTGGCACTGTGCTAATTGCTAAGCACTCTCAAAACAGAAGAAGCCCTCAAAAGACATGTATCCTGGATCCCAGTGAGTTCATACCCTGCAGACACCAGTGAAATATCAGGCTCTATTTCCCAGTTTATGGTGGCCCATATATTTTTAACATTTAAGCTGTATCCAGGGTTATGGGCTTCCAGCTCTAGTGATGTCCTTTGTTCATTGTGATGAGCTTTTACCTTCCAAAGAAATAGAATTTAAATACAAAGAACTCAGTGTTCTCAGAAACTTACTAAGATTATCCCTGGTCATTGTATAATAATGTGTAAGAGATGCTTGCAGCTGACTACAGTCATGATGGGCAGTCTTACCCAGTGATAACATAGCTACCTCCACCCTTTTATGGCAGATGAATTATGATTAATACAAGCTCATGACTCTGGAAAGTCATGAATAAAGATGACTTAATGGCAGGTCAGGACTAGTACTAGGTAAAAGCTAGACTCTTGCAGACCAGATCTATGATTCATTGCTAACCTAGTGTCTAAAGTCAGCATGTACTCACTGAGTAGATATTTAATGAGAGAATTATGTTGAGTAGTAAATATACCAACATAAGCATATTAGCCTCAATATCCAGTTATTCATTTTAAATTCTCAGACTAACCAGGTCATTCATGATGAAATACATTCTCTGGTAAAGCCAGTCTGTGGAAATGGAAGAAATCAGCCCTGAACCTCTGTAGAACACTCTCAGGTCAGACACATTAGACATACGGGCAGCCTCCTTCATCCATATGAGAGTTCCCTCAGAGAAATAAACAACTTGCCGATCCACATGAGCTGATATACCTAGAAAAGCCACGCATTGACATTATTATGTAACAGCAGGACAAGAAAAGCTTCATGAAAAAGAATTTTTTAATATTTAATAAATATTAAAATAGAAGTCCTATTCTTGAATAAAATACTCTACTAAGTTTTTCCTTTATAGAGAATAATATTTTTAGAAGAATTTAAAATCGTACTCGGTCAATATCAGAAAGACGATTTTCTTGGCTTACGGTATTTTGGTTTTGGTTTGTGTTGGTGCTGAAGATTGGGCCCAGGCCTCATGCATGCTAAGGAATGTAGTACCTGAGCTACACCTCCAGGTCCAAAACTATTTTTAATATTCCTGTTTTCTAGAAGTATTTCTTCCAGAAATTCAATGTCTTTTCACACAGAGAAAATATTTCTGTTGTACTCACCTGTAATATTATGGTGTATAGCATCTGACCAAAGACAATGTGCTTCATCTACTAAGTGTTTCAGAGATCTCTTTCTTAGAGACATTTTTCGGGATAAAAAGAGCCACTGCTCCTCTTCTTGAATTGAAAAACAGCACGGTTTTCAGACAGTATGCATGCTAACACAAATCTCTCCAAAGAGAAATAGTACTTAAAAAAAGGAGAATGATCAGATTTTCTCTGGAGGCACTGGGGCACTTCATATGTGGTATAACACATATTATTCCATAATGTGGTGGGGGCAGAAAGTGGCCATCAAGCAAGACGGGTGTTTGCCCTAAGTATCCCTTCCTCCAGAAGCACATCAATCAGTTAGCCCCAACCTTGGGAATCTAGCGGGCAGATGTGGTCGAGCCCTGGCCAGAAGCTAGGTGCATACTCACACACACACACACACACACACACACACACACACACAAAATGGTGGTCTCTGCATTGTCTTCAACATCTCTCCCTTTGAAGCAGAAGAAATGTTCTTAGAAAGCCAAAATCTGATCCTGTTCATCAGGAGACCAAAGCAGGGTCCACAGGCAATGGATACTTTGAGAGCAATGAATAAATGGCCTTCAATGATCACATCAGAGCCTTTGGACAGTCCTCTTGTATAACATAAATACTCTCCTTTTCCAGACTGTAGGAACGGCCAAAAACACCCTAAAGGTTGGTGTTAGGCAGTAATCAATATCCACTTGCATAAGTTTGTGCAAGTAACAGTAAGGGGGTGGGGTCAAGTCAACAAATTTCTGGTGAAAACAGAAAACAGACTCCTAGGATTCTGGGTCATTGAGTATTATTCAAAACTCTTTTACTAGTTTCCTCCCCACAAAAATGTCTAGTGCTCCTTAGAAAGCCTTTTCGTTTGTTATCTTGTTCACATAGGCACGATACAGTAAGTATTTGACCACTCAAAGCAATTGTTAAAAGAAACCCTAAAAAGGGCTGGAGATTTAGCTCAGCAGCACCACAAGTACAAGGTCCTGAGTTCGATCCCTGCTACCAAAAAAAAAGTGACCCTAAAAAGAAAGTACTTACAAAGTAATAAAAAAGATAATTTGACAGGTTGAATATTCAAAATGGAAAATGAAAATTATTAAAATCCATATATACTTAAAAACATGAAGGAGACTGGGACAAAGATGTCTGATAGAACAATACCTAATGTAAAATGGAGTTTGGGACAATAAGGCTTTGTGTAATGTGTAATGTATAAATGTAAGTCACAACACTACAGGTTTAAACAGAAACTAAGAGTTTAAAGCCACTTTTTAAATCTTTAAATTTTTTCACTCTGTTTTTTCAATTCCTAAATTCTAATGTGAAAACTCTCAACCTAAACACTTCTATTTGTCAGGTACTTAGGTTAACTTCAAAATAAAAACCTAACCAATACCCAGAAGACAACATCCATTTGGGTAGAAGAGGTAGGATCTTGAGAGATACCCGATGACCCAAGGCTTCTGCACTCTGATCCACTTTTCTTGCTTTTCATTCCTGTAGAACAAAGAAGCAAACTTCCTCTGTCTGCTCTCTCTATGCCTCTCCAGGTTAGTGCCCTGTGCAACACCTTCTGACCCCACCATCCTGCTCCAGACTCTTTCTGGGCTTCTTTAATAGTCTATCCAGTCCTTGGCCTTGAGTAGTGTTTGGGGCCCCATGAAAGGGAGTTGGCAAGGGCATTAAGCTCAGCAGCTTTTGGTGAGTGGTGGGATGGATCCTTCACACTTGCCTAGCTCTGTGGTGTCTGGAGGGCAGATGTTCCACATAGGAACAGAGTTTGTCATTTAGGGAGCCGTGGGAGAGTGACCACTCTGGCTCTGCTCCAATGTCTTCGCTCCACTCCAGATCATACCAGTCACAGCTGCTGTGTACCCCTGCAACTCACTGTCCCGTGGATCCCTCAAGAACTGGTTCCAGATGCCTAACCAGGATTATATCCTTGTTCCTTTCTGTCCCTAAGCCTCACTGATCCTAACTTAGTCACCACCCTCTGTGGGACCAACATGAAGAGAAGGGTATAGAGAAGGAGGAAGCCCCTTTAGATATCAGCAGAAGACTAGATACTTAACCAGTCATGCTGACTAGGGACCAGGTGAAGCCTAGCAGAACTCTGCTTGCAGAAGGAATGAAAAGTAAGCTCGGCTGTCCACTCAGACCCCAAAGCCCCTTCCCTCACTGGTAAGTAAGAGACCAAAGTGTAGGAGAGGCACAAGATGAATAACAAGTCTCCTAACCCCAACCACAGAGGGCAGGAGCTCAGCCCCACAACTGCTTTATAAACAGATTTCTCCATTTTTGAGCTAAGGGTGAAGAGCACAGTGGTTGAATTCAGACTGAGGTAGAGATAGGACTTAGAAGATTCTTTACTTTTGTGTCTTTGCATGCGTGTGGAGTATTTTTCTTTTTTTCTCCATGTGTGTGTATGTGTGTGTAAAATGTTTGTATATGCAAAATGGAGAATAGGAATTAGTGCTTTAGTTTAGATAGTTCTTTCATGGTCATGTCAGGTTAACCCTCAAAAAATATGTGGTGGATTCCAACCGAAGCTTTCCACCAGCATATTAACTGGCTCTGACCTTCTTACAACTCCCCCAACATCCAGTTCAACTTCCCCTTCTCTTTTTTTTCTCCACCTCTGCAAATGACTTGTCAAACACCTTTTCTCCCTCCATCCCTAACATAAAAATATCACCAGAGTCCTCTTTCTTTTCTTTCATTTGCTATTATCTCCATTTTCTTTTCTGTTTTCTGAATAATTTTCTCAATTTTTTTCTTCCTTTCTCCACTGATCCTCAGTATCTCAGCATACTTGTCATCAGTATTATGGCACTGTGTCCCTGGGTTACTGAAAAATGCATGAATTTGTTAAGACAAGTTTTAAATTATATGATTCAAATATGATTGGTTCTATAGACGTTGATATAACTAACTAGTGGTTGTTCTTCCCTTGCAAATGAATGGCCACCACTGATGAATGGATCCTATTATGTTGAGTTGGTTGAATAGGTGCATAATAACCAGAATGTAACCAAAACTAAGGTCAAATCACAGGGAGAAATACACTAACTAAAGGAATCTCCACAGCAGTGAGTTTTCTGCCCTAATTGATCTTTAACCCTCAGCAGAAAAACAAGAGAAACATGGAAAACAAGGCAACAAAATGCCTCCAAAAGCTCTTACCTGCACAGAGGTAGTCTCGTGGGCACTGAAATATAGGAAGCTTTTTACAAGGAACTCAAAAAACAAAAGGTTGAAATGTTTAAAGAGATCAAAGAAGAAACTAAGCAAATTTATAAGAAGCTCAGTGATCTTAAACAGGATATACATAAACAGAAAAAGCATCTCATTAAAATATTTAACAAGCTTAAAGAAGAAACAAACAAAAACTTGATTGAAATAAAGAAGACAATGTAAGATGCAAATGACCATTTTAGTAAAGAATTGCAGATTATTAAAAAGCAATCAAGCAGAAACCCTTACATGAAAAATTCATTTGAAAGTATGGGCAACAAGAATGAACAGACTAAGGGGAGACTGTCAGAATTTGGACAAGGTTGATGTAGTAGAACACATACTCAGTGAAATCCTAAAAACAAGACATGATGAAAACTGGATCTAACATCTGCTAAATAACTAAAAAAAAAATCTGAGAATTATAGGAGTTGGGGAAAGTTAGAAAATAACACCAAACATTTTTTTTAAAGTATCCACTGATATCATACTTGAAAATTTTACAAACCTAGGAAAAGAAATAAAAAGCCAGATAAATAAAGCATATAAAACCCCAAATAGCTACAACCAGAAAAGAACCTCTCCATTGCACATTATAGTCAAAATCCCAGAAATTCAGAATAAAGACAGAATACTGAAATCTGTTGCAGAAAAATATCAAGTAATCTATAAAGGCAAGCCTATCAGAATAATAGCATAGTTCTCAAAAAAAATAAATAAACAACTTAAAGGCCAAGAAAGCTTGAGCAAAGTTTTCAAACCCTAAAAGAAAACAGCTGCCAATTCAAATTACCATACCCTGCAATATTACCCTTCAAAACTGATGAAAAAATAGACTCCATAACAAAGAAATTTATCACCACCAAACCAGCAATGCAGAAAGCACCTAAAGGATCCTAGAAACAGCTAAGCCAACATCACCAAAGAGCCCAAAGGAAAGAATATACCTAATTGAGAGAATAAACAAAAGGAAAAAAAGAAACTAGCACTGGAAAAATATTGCAATGTCAGTAATCAGTATATACTTTTCAATAACAACACTCAATGTCCATGGTTTTAACCCACCGATCAAAAGACACACTGGCAGATTGGATTGAAAAACAAAACCCCACCATATAGTGGTGGCAAGAGACAGACCTCACCTTCAAAGGAGCACATAAACTGAAATTAAAATGATGGAAAATGATACTCCATGCAACTTGAGCGCAAAAGCAAGCAGGAACAGTTGCTATTTTCAGAAATACTGAACTTCAAGCCAAAACTCATCAGAAGAAAAAAAAGAAGGTCACTATATATTGGTAAAGGGAACAATTCAACAGAAAGAGACAAACACACACACACGCACACACATGCACACACACACGCACACACACGCGCGCACACACACACCCAATTTCATAAAAAAAAAACTATTGAACATAGAAGGACAGAGAGACACAAATACACTCCTAGAAGGAGACTTCAATATTCCACTCTCACACATAGGTCAACCAGACAAAAAGATCAACAAAAAAACATCAAAGTTCAACCATACCATTGGATAAATTGACTTAAAGATATCTAAGAGTGTTACATCTAACAATAGAATACATGTTTTTCTCAGCAGCACAAAGAACTTTCTCCAAAATAGATCATATCTTAGGCCATAAACCAAGCTTAAATGAATACAAAAGAATTGAAATAATCTCTTGCATATGACCAGACCATAAAGGAAAGAAACTAGAAATCAATAGCAAAAGAAACCACAGAAACAATGCAAACACATGGAGATTAAATAATATACTCTTGAATAATCAATGGATCAGAGAAGAAATTAAAAGGTTCCTAGAATCAAATGATAATGTAAGCACAACATTCCAAAACCTATAGGACATAATGAAAATAATTCTAAGAGGAAGTTATAGCTGTAAATGTCCATACTTTAAAAAACAGAACAATCCAAAATAAAGAACCAATAATAATAAATAATAAAATAAATAACCAATGCATCCAAGGTACTAGAAAAAAAGGAGCAATCCAAATTTAAAACTTGTAGAAGGAAATTAATTAAAAGATCAGAGCAGAAATTAATAAAATTGACACTAAGAAAATAATATAAAGGATCAAGGAATCAAAGAGTTCGTTCTTTGAGAGGATGAACAAAATTGACAAACCTTTAGCAAAACTTACCAAATGAAGGAAAGAAAAGATGCATACCAATGCCACTAGGAATGCAAAAGGTAAAATCACAATGGGCACTGCCAAAAGCCAAATGATTCTAAGAAACTATTTTGAAAACTTTTATATTTCAATAAATTGGAGAATTTAGAAGAAATGGATAAGTTCCTAGACACATATGGATAACCAAAACTGAACCAGAAAATATAAAAAATATTTCTTTTAACAGAAAAATAACAAGCAATGAAATGGAGGTCGTAATAAGAACCCTACCAACTAAGAAAATCCCAGGACCCAGTAGATTCACTGAACTCCAAGGAAGAAATAACACCAATACTGTTCAATCCTTTCCATGAAAATGAAAGGAAAGAAGCACTATCAAGCTTACTCTTTGAAGCTAGCATGACCCTGATGTCAAAACAAGACAGGAACTCAAAAAAAAGAAAATTACAGGCCAATTTCCTTAGCAAAAATAGATGCAAAACTCCTCAACAAGTACCTGCAAATAGAATATAAGAAATCATTAAGAAGTTATATATCAGCGAATTGCTTTCATCCTAAAGATGCTAGGATTGCTCAATTACATAAATCAAGAAATATAATAAATCCCTCTAAAATCCAGAACAAGACAAGGCTGTCCAATCTCATCATTCCTGTTCAAGATGGCACTTGAAACTTTAGCCAGAGAAATCAGGCAAGAGAAAGAAATAAAAGGGATATGAATAGGGATAAAAGAAGCTAAACTATCCTTTGTTCCAGATGATATAATCCTTTACATATGAGACCCAAAAAACTCCACCAGAAATCTCTTAGAACTAATTCAGCAAAGTAGCAGGATACAAAATCAATACACAAAAATCAAAAGCATCCCTGTATACTAACAACAAACCCACTGGCAAATTGGCATGCGGGAGCTTTGGGGGGCAGTGGCAGGGAGAGAGGTGGTACCGGGAATCGAACTTAGGGCCTCACATTGGCCAGGCAGGCGGTGCACTGCTGAGCAGTTACATCCCCTGCCCCTGCCCAATGGCTTCAAGACAATTAAATACCTAGGAATTAACCTAATCAAAGAAGCGAAAGGCTTTTGTAACAAAATTTATAGTACTCTGAAACAAAAAGAGATTGAAGAAAACCTTAGAAAATGGAAACACATCTCTTGTTCCTGGTTAGGTAGAACCAATATTGTCAAAATGGCCTTATTACCAAAAACAACACATACAAAGATTTAATATAATTCCAATCAAAATGCCAACAGCATTCTTCACAGGGCTAGAAAAAACAATCCTAAAATGTATATGAAATAAGAAGAGAAGCAAAATAGTCGAAAGCAATCCTGAGTGAAAAGAACAAAGCAGAGGATACTACAATCATGGGTGTCAAGTTATACTATAAACTACAGGAATAAAAACAGTAGGGTACCGGCACAAAAATAGACACATTGTCCAGTGGAATAGATCAAAGATACAAAAACAACCTTATGCACCTTCAGCCATTTTATTTTTGACAAAGGGACTAAAAAAACATACCCTCAAGAAAAGATAGCATCTTAACAAGTGGTGCTGGGGAAACCAGTTATCCACATGAAGAAGAACAAATCACCCACATCTCTCACTGTACTAAAATCAAAATAAAGTGGCTCAAAGACCTTGTTATGAAAACAGCAACACTGAATCTGCTAGAGGATAAAATAGGTAAAACTCTTGTTTTAAGTATAGGCAAGGACTTTCTGACTAGAACCCCAATTGCACAAGAAATACAGTAATAACAGGAGTCAATAAATATGATTACATCAAATTTAAAGACCTCTGCACAGCAAAGAAAACAACCAACAGAGTGAAGAGACAACCTACAGAATGGGAAAAATTTTGTCAGCTACTCCTCAGAGACCTAATATATAGAATATATATATATATATATATGTAAAACTCAAACAGTAGATCCAAAAAATTAAAGACCCAATCAAAACATAGTTAATTGAAATGAAGACACTTCTTGAGAAAGAAGTATAAATGGGCAACAAGTATATGAAAAATATTTAGCATCTGTGGCCATCAGAGAAATGCAAATTAAAACAACACCGAGATTCTATCTTACTCCAATAAGAATGTCTATCATCAAAGACTCAAAAAGCAAAAAAATGCTAGTGAGGATGTGGGGAAAAGGAACCATTCCACAGTGTTGGAGAGAATGAAATCTAGTACAACCACTATGGAAATCAATACAGAGATTCCTCAAAAAACTAAAAGTATAAATTCCATTTGACTCAACTATTCCTTCCTAGGTATCTTCCTGAAAGAGTTAAAGTCATCATATTACAATGATCCACGCACCCCCATGTTTACAGCAGCACAACATCTAAATTATGAAAGTGGCCTATATTCCCACCAACAGATGAACAGATAAAGAAAACGTAGTATTTACACCATGGAATATTAGTCTGCGGTAAAGAAGGATAAATTTAAGTCATTTATGCAAATACAGATTGATCTTGGGACCACAATGCTAATTTAATTAGACACGGAAGGATAAATATCACATAGTTTATCTTATATGAGAAACCCCAAATTTAAATAATTTAAAGGGCAAAATAAAAGAGAGATGGTAGGAAAAGGGGAGGTAGACTGTAGAGATAGAAAAGGGATCAAGGAAGGGGAAGTAGGGGAGAAGGGAAGGTAAAAATGACCAAGATTTGGTGTATGTATGTACCAATTCCCCAAGATGAATGTAATTGTTATGCACTGCAAACATGTACCAACATTCAACCGAAGAGCAGCCCAGATTCTGCTTCTGGCCCCTCACCAGCTTCATTTACTGCTACGACAAAAAACCTATTCCAAAAACAACACAGCATGGTGTGAACATGAGATAAAAATAAGGAGCAATAAGGTTTCTATTTAAAGGATGGTGTGGCGACACACGTATCTAATTGCTCAATGCCCTTATGCAGCACTAAAATGAGCATGGATCGCAGCCTCGTTTACATTCCCCATAGAACAGTTCAGGTCACCGGGGTCAATACCTGAACTCTGCTATCAACATGACCCCAGTGCTCCTCTAATTTAAAGAGGCTTTGGTGAATCCTAGAGACTAACGATAATAAAATAAGCCCAATGCTTAATAAAAATACCATTGGCAGAGTTTAACCTCCTAACCTTTTTCATGTTGGATCAAATGAGACAACATTCCTGGTGATTATGATGTCTTTATTGGTTCTTATTTATTTAAGATCTACTGAATATAATAACACTTGAAGACATTACTACTTAAATTCTATATGCACAGAAACTGGAGAAAACCCAGTTCCAACCCAATAGTGTGGAGTCAGTAAAATCTCTTAAAAATACTTTTTAAGCCATATTTTAAATATTTTAAATCATGATGTCTGCAGCTATGCTGGCTACATATTCCTCTGCACCATTTAATTCTTACCTGTAGGTGGTATTTGGAAGAGTAGAATAAAACTGGAAACTGGTTCTCTGTGTCCCTGAATCGAATTTATTATTTTTGCTGATCAGTCGTAAATTATAACCCAGAATAGGTCCACCTGGGAATTGGGGTGGAGTCCAACTGACTTCCACGGTGTCAGGGCCAGAGCTCTCAATATTCCGAATAAGAGGTGCAGTTTGAGGAACTGGAAGAGATAATGAGGATGTAGTGAGTATAAAAATGAACAGAGTTTATGTTTTTAAAATAAGATAGGAAAAAAATCTTGATTCTTTTTTTTTGTTTGGTACTGGGGATTGAACTTGGAACCTTGCACTTTTGAGGCAGGTGGCAGAACCATTGAGCTAAATCCCCAGCCCAAAATCTTGATTTTTTTAAAAAATTAACAGACATGAACATTTTGATTAATAATCAAAAGTGTGATGAGCAATAGTAAAAATCTCCGAGTTGCAATTCTTGATTCTAAAATTATACCAGTTAAATACTAAAGTTTGCCAAAAGATTCTTGCAGATGCTATTTTGCTCACTTCTTGTTTATGGAATAAGATTAATTTTGAAATATATAAATAGGTTAAGTATTCCTGAAAAAGAAAAGAGTCCTCAAAAATCTCTGGAGACCTAAATGAATTGAATCAAGGGATGGAACCAGGTTAGGAAAGAAAAGAGAATCTGAACAAGCTGGGGTCAATGATTAACAGGAGCTATAAAAGGAAATCTGAGGCCTGTGCACTCACTGCACAGGGGCCTGACGGTCCCAGCTGTAGACGTGGCTTCGGAAAAGCCGTAGTTAGAATGGCCTGCTGCTGTGTTGTCCTCAGCTCTGACCACCCAGGTGCTATCTTTCCCTCACAGCTGAGTGGGCATCAGCAGGCTGTACCCCACCCTAACCTTGGCAAAGAACAAAGGAGCTGAGCTAAAGAAGAAAGCACTCACTCCCAGATCCCAGATAGGCCAGTGACGTGGCAGCTGATCTTCCATCCATGCGTCCACCCACTTTCATACCTTGGCTCCCCAAAATCATGCTCTGTTTTCTCATTCCATAGAAAAACATGCTCATATAGCAATTTGGTCTTCCTTCTTAGCACTGCTGAAAATGATGTGCATCTCCACTGATACCTTGGATCTCAGCCTTCACACCAATGTCTCTGAAAGGCCTCTTCACAAGACCCTCAGCCTTTCTGTAGGACAACCCGTCCCAAACTCCCAGACTCATTTTTGGTAAACACCATAACTGTGTGTCACTCCTTGGTTCCATGTACTCAGTTACCTTCATGAACAGGAAAGGAAGAATGACCTCCAACTCCATCAGAATCATGACATCAAAACCTAACTCTGGAGTCAACATCCAGCATGTTCTGCCCCACTTCAAGCAAGCCAAATGGCACCTCCATGGAAAGATGTATTTATTGTCCAAATGTCTCCAACAGAAAAAAAAGTCCTCCCCAAAAGGCTGGTATTCCTTGTACAGTAACCATTATCTTGGTTAAGAAATTATCTTCAGAAAGGTTCCAGTTAGAAGGAATCATATAAGTCTCATAGCTATTAGAGAATAGGAATAAAGGCAATAAATGCACAACAGATAAGTTTCTAGCTGTGGCTAAATAAGGAAGGGAGAATCTGGAGCATGAGAGTCTATCCATGGAAAGGGTGTGGCCTTGCATATCTACCAAAAAGGCCCAGAAATGGAAAGCAAGGTTGTCTCCTTCTTGGCTTTGATTTGACCAGACATAGGTATTGGACCATGGTACTCCATTATGACTATTTGTCCCAGCACTGTTGAGGTATATGAGTCATTTCTTGGAACAAGGAAGGACCCATGTATTCTACTCTTGCCTGGAATGTTTTAAACATGGTCCTGAGCTAGGTTCTAAGCATAGATAATCAGAGAATAATCAGCAGAAGTGGTCACACAAACCCTGAGCCTTAATAAGCAAGGAAAGCATACTCCTCAGGGAAAAGGGGCAATTTCCCAACCAACTTCATCAGGATCAAAGGCCATGTTCAATCAGAGGTTCTCTGCACATGACCACCTCTCCAGGATGAGAGGCAGGGCACCCAGCGAGCCTGCGGCCATCTGCCAGGCCACCTTAGCCGACTCTGATGTGGAGACACAGGCGGCCACACCCTGCGTGTACACCCAGCATCCAGCTTCCTGCAGGGCTTCTAGGTTTGAGTCCTTTCCTTGGTGAAGGTGTCACATCTTCAAAGCAAGAGATTTGGAAGTTCTCCAGCACATGGAATGTTTCAATCTTGTCTTTGAAAAAATGCCTCTGCACTTTCCAAGCCCTTTCACTGCCTCAGCTGATGCTGTATTTGGTTACCAAGCTTCTCTTCTTAAAGACTATGGAGGCACTTACTCCTCTGCATCGAAGCTTTCCAGAGTTCGGAACATTCTCTAAGTGAAGTCCAAACTCACGCCTAGTCTTCGGAGTTCTCAGTAGTTGATCCCTGGACCCAGTCTCCCTCCCAGAAGTCCTCCTGCTATTTCTCTTTTCTGTGCCTCATACTTGCTGCAGATGGAAGCCCACGTCTCCTCTCCATGCCTTAGAGATCGATCCTTATGATCTTGCTCATGTGGTCCTGCCCTTCCCTCACCTTATGGCCACATGAACAATAAAATTCTCTCCAGAGAGATTTCTTTGATATTATATTGTAGAAACAATATCTCCCTCCTCTGAACTTACTCAGGAATTTGCCAGTACCATTTATTACAATGCTTTTAATTAAGTAGCCTCTTATTCAGGGTTTCGGATCCACACACCTATGCTACTTGACTCCATGTTGAATGTGAAAACACTTACTTAGGCTGAGTATTTCTCTAAGGCTCAAGTAGAACTCAGAAGAGGGAAGCTCAGCAAAAGCTGCCTTCTGATAGAGCCACATTCTGCATAAAGGTTAGGGAACAGGGACAGCTGGAATCTAGCAGGAAAGAAGCCTTTTCTTTCTTTCCAAGGATGATGCAACTGTGTTTTAGCCAATCCCTCTCATTTTTGAAGTAGTTTCGTTACTTGGCTTTAAGACGCCACAAGCTCCAGAGTTTGCTCCTTCTTGGTGTGTTGTCTATTCTGCTTTTTCTGTCACCAAATCCTGGGCTGCTCTTGATCTTCTCTTTTTTCAACCTACACTCATTCTTAGCCTACCACCTTGAGGCCCAGGACCTGAAATCTGACCTCTATGTCTTTAACTCTTACATTGGCATCTTGGATGTCTCCAGCTGCCTCCTGAGCTCCAAATCTATATATTCAACTGCATCCTTGACAACTCCATTTGGATGTCTGATTAGCATCTCAAATTTTACTTGGACAGGCAGATTTTTTTAATTTTTTTATAGTAAAGCAACCCTCCCCCAAGTCTTCCCAGGTCTCAGTAAATGGCAACCCACAGGTGTTCAGCCTGGAAATCTAAGTTATCAAGCTTCATCCTCCATTCCCATCTCCAATTCATTCTGCAACCTCATCAGCAGATCTTTCCACTACCATCCCCATGACCACTACAGTCAGAGCCACCACCATGACTTGGGAATGTAAACTGGTACAACCACTGTGGAAAACAGTATGCTGAGTCCTCGAAAAACTAAAAATAGAAATTCCATTTCACCTAGCTATTCCCCTTCCAAGTATCTTCCCAAAAGAGTTGAAATCATCATCATATTATAGTGATACATGCACTACAAGGTTTGAGCAGAGGAGTGACATGATTTTGTCATTGGGTGGGGTCCAAGGAAGTCCCCCCTCCAGAGGAGGAGATGGGAACATAAACTCACTCAACCACCAAATAGGTTGTAGGTTCACTGACTTCCATCACAGGAAAGCATTTCAGGATGTGTCAGTAGGCATGGGGAGGTTTGTTAGGTCAGAAGAGTGTGTGTGTGTGTGTGTGTGTGTGTGTGTGTGTGTGTGTGTAGCGTGAGCTGCATTGCAGTCTGGAGCTGGGCGTTTTATATGGTCTTGGGGATGTCCTTAAGGTGGGCGATCTAGGACATGTATCTAGTACACCTGTGGGGTCATCTATTTGATGGGCTAAGTCAGAATGTAAACCATTCGTGTGCTTGAAGGTCAGAGAGTTGCCGCAACTTCCTAGTGCTGCTTCCTTGAGGACAAAGGTCTGTGGGTGAAAGAAGGCCCAGTTTAGAGGGTAAAGCATGGGCCAATTTATAGGATTATTATTGTGTCTTTAAGATCTTTAGGAATCCGGTGGGGGGTGGGTGAGTTTCCCAACCTTGTAGTGGCTCTCCCTCTAGAGTCCACAAAGGCCTCTGAGGCCAACTGTGACCTGCCCTCCCACCTTCCTGTCCCCCACCTCCTTCCACGCTCTGTTCAAGCCCCTCTGCTGTGCCTTGGACAGGCCAGGGATGCCCTTTCCCTGGGGCCTCTGTATGACCACCCCACACACACACTATATCTGAGATCTGTCTGGCCAACTTCCTCATGTCCTGCAAATCTTGCTCTAACTTCACTCCACCCTCTCAGCAGGCTTCTTCAAATCATCTCATTTAATAGTGCATCGGCTCTCCCTCCCCACTCCCATTTCTGACCCCCTGAAGCATAAAGCCTACTCAAAATGTTCATCTCACCCAGCAAACAGCAGCATGCCACTTACCAAACTCTTTCCTTACTTGTTATGTTTATCACACAGAACATATTTTCCAGCAAAGCAAGAGCTCCCTAAGAGCAGGGGTCATTGTTTTGTATTGTGAACATTACTTGGCATATGTGGCATTACTTGGCATTAGGTACTTGATTGTTGAATAGATCAATTAAAATGAAAACTCTGGAACAATGTCCGTGTTGCAGAAGCAGCAAGTACATGCCATACCTCCATGAGGATGAGTCCTGTATCTTGGGCTCGTAGGAGAAGAAAGCCGCATCTGGGCTGTGAAGATCCAAACTACTCGAAAAACATATTCTGTGAAGGGGCGCAGGGCCCGCACCATGCAGGAGATCCTGGACACGGTCTGCAGGGTGTGAAACCAAGTCAGCCCTTATCAGACCTCCTGCCCATCCTGCCCACACGATTGGTGGACAATGGGTGCCCTGGGTGTGCCAGGGCCCCAGATCCTGCCAGCTAAGGCAGCTCTCCAGACATTGTCTGCATAGTTCACACACAAATTCTCTCATCCTTCTAAAACAGTAAAATTGAATCCATAGATTCAATTATTTGGCAAATATCTCTAGGATTTACCAAAATTTTTCTATGTTAATTGTCTTGGTGACTTGGGATTACTTTTTTCTAAACTTGCTCATGCTTTCCTGAAAAGGAAACCCTCAACCCTCAACAACCAGCCTAGATGTCCTTCTAAGCAGGAAGAAGCTCCATGAGAATCTTTCTCCTGCCTCCCCTTCATTTCACTTGGGATCACTGGGGAGGGGCAGATAATAACAAATGGGACATTTGTCACACGTTACGTGACTCTGTGCTGGGAAACTACGTGTGTGGCCAGTAATTCATTTTCCTCATAAAATAAAGTTTACAGAGTAGCAAAAATTAAAGTTCATGAAATTCACATACTTATGCTTGAATCTTTTCCAGAATGCATGAATCCCTTTAAGTAGTCTCTCCTTATCCTTGAGGATACATTTCAAGACCTTTGGTTGATCCCTGAACCTTCAGATAGCACTGAATCCTATATATAGGGACTTTGACACTAATACTGTGACAGTTGATCTGAAAACCAAGGTGAGTATTAAGTGACTAACAGATGGGTAGCTTATACCATGTGGATATGCTAGACAAAGGAATGATTCATACTCCAGTGAGACAGAGTGGTATGATGAGAGATTGTATCATGCTACTCAAAACAGAAAGCAATGTAGGATTTATGAACTGTCTGTTTCTGAATTTTTCCATTAAATATCCTATGGTTGACAACAGATAAAGGGACTATTATTATTTTATGTAGTATCTGGGTACCTGAAATAATTCAGAGGGGGAAGTATTTGTTTAAATACAAAAGCAGGGACCGAGGATTTAGTTCAGTGGTTCCACCACCTGCCTCACAAGCTCAAGGACCCGAGTTCAATCCCCAGTACCAATAAATAAATAAATAAATAAATAAATAAATACAAAAGCAGCTTTTCTCACCTCAGCGTAAATCCATCTTCCTGGAAGTTGTGCATATTTCCACTGAATGATGTATTTCACTTCAGAGATATTGGCAGATTTCCACAGTAAAGTCACACTATGGCTTCCGATGGAAGAAGCAAAGGGTGCAGTAGGGAGGTTTGTGTTTTCTGAAGAGAAAACAAGGTTTCACTCCCCATGCACTCTGTCCACCAAAACAGAAGAGCATGTGCCTGCTTCCTTTGGGGCCCTCAGCATGCTCCTGCTACAGGGGCCACCTGAGCAATCCATGCTACATTTGTTCTCTTTGTTCTACAAGTGTGCAAAATGGAATGTTCAGCACTGTCCAGTGTTTCTTAGGTATGGCTTTCTTACAGGCCAGGGGCACAGGTCCCTATTATGACTTGTGTTTAGATGTCCCCCCAAAGCCTCCTGCAGTTAGGTAGGGGCTTTTTCAGAGACAGTCGCATCTAGACTGTGTGATGCTGGGATTAAGGGTGTGTGATTATGAAATCAGTCCACTGATTGGTTTGGCACCACCCTAATCCCAGTAGCCTCAGTAGAGTATAAAAGGGGCAGAAAGAAACTGCTAAGTTCCCTTGCTTGCTTTGCTACCTTCTGCCTGCCATGGACTGTTTCTCCTCTGCAATGCCTATCTGCCATGCCACCCTGCCTTGGAGTCAGACAATTACATACTAAAACCTCCACAATCTGTGAGCCAAAGAAAACCTTTCCTCCCTTAACTTTGAGTGTCAGGTACTTTGTCTCAGCAACGAAAAAAAAAAGAGAGCACCAAAGCATAGCTGTGGTATAGCAGAGTCATCAACTGCCCCATGACACATATCTCAGGATAAATTTTGAGATTTTACACTATAATTGTGCTATTATTGTCCATTTTCTCAGCAAATTATTTTTATGTGTATAGGACTTTACATTCCTGTTGTTTATAAGACATTTCATGACTTCTGAACATTACGGATTTTACAGATTGTGGCATATATTTATTGGACGCTACTTGTCAAGCGTGATACTCAGAGCTAGTTTTCTGCACTCCATATATCACTAGGAGGAAACAGATTTATTTTATTTTTCTATTTTTTCCAAAATGTGATAGATTTAATGCTTTGGCTTTCTTTGACAGAGAAAAATAACTACTTGGATTGCAAAAGTGTGGTGGATTTGGCAGAGAGCTTTAAATGGTTAAAATAGAACCACTAGGATCTCAGTTTCTTGCGAAAAGAAAACCAACAAGATTCTCATCACTCTATATGGACTAACTAAATTCCATACTCTGTAATACAGAAAGATTAAAGCCATTATCACGGGGGGGGGGGTTCCAGCACAATCACTCCCTGCTGATTCTTCTATTTATGGTTCATTTGAGGCCATAAATCCAAAACATAGCTCCACTTTTCCTCCCTTTCATGGTGAAGCCTTCAGTAGCAGGAAAGGGCATAGGATGTAGACCCCTGAAGAAGGGGTCAATGCAGGAGTTGTCAGCTGACCAGGAGGAACACACAGGAGGCATCAGAAATGATATCTATTGAGAACAGGGCAGAGGAATGAGTTACACAAATGCAGGAAAACAGACATCTTTTTCAGGCTTTGGTGGTGTGTATGGAACACGGGTGGCAAAGCGGGTCTGCTCTAAAGTATTAAGACACATGTAAGTCGAATGGGAAAGAAAAGCTGACCTGAACAGCACATTATTCTCCATGCAGAGCAGCAGGTGGGAGAAAAGATTCTGCTGCCAGAAAGCTGGGTTGCAACTCCAGTTATATCTCCTTCTAATTCTATGGCCCCAAGCAAGTATTTAAGCTAAGCCTCAATTTTCTCATCTGCCAAATGAGGCTAATTATAACATTTATACCTCTGAAGACAAAAGGAGCTAATAACTACAAATTAATGACAACAGTGTCTGATTCATAAGTGAGTAATAAAATAGTGTTATTTTAATGTACTGCTAGTCATTATCATTTTCCACTATGTGGAAAGGTATGTGGGAGGTATCTAAATTCAAATAAGATAGCAGACCTACAAATCAATGGACCATGGGCCAGCTGCACAGAGACAAATAGGCACTTCAGTGCCTGTGCAAAATGATTGACTCATCATGACAAATGCAGATATTGCTCATGAGCTCAAATGCCTTAACTTACATCCCATTTCTTAGTGGTACACATTGCTCTATAGCCAATGATAAACTTGGATAAAGCTTTGATTATACTTATATTCTAATGGAATTGTATAGTTAACTGGATGACATAATTTTAGAATATAAGTAAAGGGTGTGAACCAAAAGTTCCAGCTTTCTCAATTCCGCCCTTCTTGTTTTCTCAGTAATTTTTTCATGGATCATTGGATCAAAAGAATTACCTAGCTGGGTATTTAGCTCAGTGGTTCCGCCGCCGCCTGCCTCACAAGCACAAGGTCTCGAGTTCGATCCCCGGTACCAAAAAAAAAAAATCATTTATTTCTCCTTTAAATGAAAATGACTGCGTTCTAGGAACACTTGTGTGCACCTTGGGCACTACACATCTCTAGTCTTGCAATCTGATTAGGTAGCACCATCCTTGTTCCTTGCTCTATGTTGAGTTTCTTGTGGTGCTTGCTTGTTACTACTAAAACACCAGCACTGCAAAGACACTATGGAAAGAGATGCAGTGTGATCTACTGGTTCTGCCATGAACTCCCCCAACTCAGAAGGTCTGGCAAGCTCCAGCAGCTGTGGACCCCCTGTGTCCCCCTTGGATACTGGCAATGCCCCATGGTTCCCCAGGGAGGTTGCTGTGATGCTCTAAGTTTCTTTAGGACACAGTTTGAAAATGAAAACCACAAAATATAAATCCTTACCACAGCTAATTCACAACACAAGGGAAAAGGTAGCATCACTGCCTCCCCACAGAAACATCGGTGGGGTGTACAGTGAACAGCAGAAGCAAACTGGGATGACAAGGCAACAACTTCCTTCCAGTTTCTACCAGCCGCTAAGAGCAAAAGGAAGGAAGGCACCAATCAAGGACTAGGTCATACAGAAGAGCCAAGCATCTCCCAGTCTGTAGGGAACCCTCTGCTCTTGGGAGGAGGGCCCAGGGAATTCAGTTAGGCAGCTGCTAATGTCCAGGCTGTGCCTATCAAAATCAGGAGAATTAACACATTGCTGGGGCAAAGACTCAGCACACCCAGCCTCCTCTGAAGCAGGCAGAGAGAGCCACAGCCACGCAAGTTTCCTGCAATTACTGAGAAGCACAGCTCCCACACACTGACCGACTCCTGGGTGTTTTGGGGGAGCCTCACACAGTAGTTCTCTGTTGGGTAACATTAGCTAAGCAGTGAACTGCACATTATATACAATTTTCCTATACTCTGGTCCAAGAAATGGTGGCACCCCAATGTCAAGTCGGGGTGAGATGCACACTATTCTCTCACTAGGAGAGAAGGGACCACGTCTCCAAAGCCCGAGGCAAGTCCCACCCTTTCATCAGTCACTGCCACATCGCCTGTGTTGTCTGCAAGAAGACTCTTGCTGAGCTTTTATCAAAATGGCCTCTACTTTTCAAATTACTGAATTTTCACGATCTATAAATCTCTTTCAGCCCTTCTGAGATGTAGAGCTCCAGATATGTGAAGAGGTGCTTTCTATGCTGCCGTGAGAACCGGTAGTCGGGGCAGAGTGGTCACATGTGGTCCTCACCCAGCACCTCCTCCTCGTAGGCACCTTCCACGCTGCTGCAGCCGACTTTACAGGCCTCTCGCTGTGGAGACAGAGTTGTGGATCAGGGCAGCCTTGTGCTGGCCAGTGACAAGCTTCTCCTGAAACTTGAAACCCGAATGCCCACCAAAAGAGTGTATCCTGCGTGTCTGATTTATTCTGCTTAATATTATGGTCTCAAGTTGCATCCATTTTCCCCAAAGTATGCAGTGAATAAACTAAAGAGCAAAACAAAAGCTAGACGATAGGAAACGGGAAGACAGAGCTTTGCAAACGGGAGGGACGGACGAAGAGATGGGGGCGGGGAGCGGCAGGGACACAAAGAGGAGGAAGACGTGCTCTGTCCGTGCAGCGGCTGCTCAGTGAACGCAGTCACCCGTGCCGCAAATCCTGACGGACAAAGACGAAGGTTGGGAAAGTGTATCTCCACTTCAACTATTTCATCTGAAATACTTACGGTTCCAACTTGTCAGTGGGATTAGACCAGTGCTTCCCAATTTGCTTTTGCCCATATTCCATAGTTAAAAATAACAAAACAACCTAGTATACAATGCATATTGAAAAAAAGATTTTTTGGAACAATATTTGCCTTTTTCTCCCATTTTAGCAGTTTTGTTGCAATAGAGTCACGCATCATAAAATTCAACCGTTTAAAATGCAGTTTCAGCCAGGTGTGGTGGTGCATGCCTGTAACCCTAGCACTTGGGAGCTAAGGCAGGGGAATCCCCATGAGTTTGAGGCCAGCCTGGAGTACATGGTGAGTCCCTCCCTTAAGAAACGAAACAGAACAAATGCAGTTTCAGTGGGTTAGTGTATTTATAGAGCTGTGCACCCAGCACCATCATGGAATTTTAGGCCACTTTCATTGCCCCAAAATGAAGCCCTGTTCCTGATGTGCTGTTAGGTGTTCGACTCTGTTCCATCCTGCTTCTTGTGACTCCTGGTTTACTGAATTGATTCCATGACCCTCTGATGAGTCACATCCTCCAGTTTGAAAAATGCTGAGCTTAACAGTGCAATTATATGTTTGCCATTTTGATCAAAATTTTCATGAGCTGAAACCCTCATTTTCTAGCCTAACATGCTGTTTGTGGTTTGCATGATTATTGTGTTATCTGTGCCTTCCTTGGAAAATTAAAGTGACTATCAATTTTTATAATAGCTGAACATTTTAATGGATGTTTTAATTCCAAAGTTGAACTTTAAGATCTACAAAAGCCTAATGATGATTAACCCTTATATCATCAACCAAAACACAGAGCACGGATTTGATGACTGAGAACACAAACTCCCCACAATGCCTAGTGGATGCATTATCATTAGGTACAGAAAAAGAAAAACTCAGAGGAAAAGCACACATCATAAAACTGCAACTCAACCCGTAACAACCTCCCTCCTCTCCTTCAATTTACAATGGCAACTGCTGGGACAACATGCTTGCTGCTCTTTCTCATCAGGGAGCAGAAACCGCAGCACAGCACACCTGCCCTGGAAGAAGGGCTGGGCTGCCGCCCACTAGCGCTGACCCTTCCTCACCTGATCTGTGCACCAAAAGAAGCAGAGCTCCACAGCCCCACTTGCTTAGTTGAGGATTAATGTAAATACCTTGGTTTGGGATCAGGACTGTTTAACTTAAAAGGATTGGTGAACTTTTCACATCCTCTGAAAATTTCAGGAAAAAGTATTCAATATCTCCATTAATTTCAGGAAAAAACAACAAGCCAGATATTCCACATGAGATTCTTTTTTTCAAGAAAGAAAACCAAGAAAGAAAAATGGAGATACAGTTGGAAACATATTATTTAGAAGTACAGCTAGTCCTGACAGTCGGTAGAATGTGTGGCCCTGTTTCAGGGAAAATATCCTGTAAAATTTCCACTTGTCCAAGAGTTGAAATGCTATCCTAAGTGGAGGTGAAGCTGTGCACAGAGCACATGCATGGTGACAACTAACACTGGACTTCTAATGAGGCTATCCAGGCTTCTCAAGCTCAAGCTGCCTAGAGAGAACCTAGAGGTGCTGGAGCAAGCAATTCACAGAAGCTGATCCCTAGCCCAGATGGGAGGTTTGCACAGCACGCTCAGCTCACTGAGCTGCCCTTCTCACTGCGGGGCCATGTCTGCTCCTCCAGGGCTCCTCCACCCTGCAGACCCTCCCACCGCTCCACAGTACCCAACACCACTCAACCATCTCTGTTGTCCCTTGGATCCACTGTCGGCTGCCCAGCCCAGCACAGGTGCCACCGCTACCTTGTCTTCCCCTAACCCAAGGAAGACACACCCCACCGCCCTCCAGGGGACCAGCAGCTTTGTTTTCCCAAAGATCATTCACTCATACAAGAGTAGTTATCAAGGTCTTTCTGTGCCAAGAGCTTTTCTTTTGCTCTAAGAATACGGCATTGAGCGAGGTAGTAAGTTCCCTGCCTTGTAGAACTTACATGCTCTCAGAAGTGGGCGGACAACAACCAAATAACAAGTTCTTTTAAACATTCAGGTAATGAAAGTACCATGAGGAAAGTGAAACAAGTCAAAGGCACAGGAAGGGGCAGCCGGGAGAAGCCTTCCTTCAGCTCGGGCGGGGAGCACAGTGCAGAGATCACCCTCAGCCCAAGATGGAGCAGTGGAGTGGTGAGAAGGTGCTGGGCTTGTGCAGATCCGAGGGCAAAGATGAAGCCTGGAAGCAGGCTTCCACGTGTGCCTGTGGTCCAGAGACGGGCAGGAGGCAGGCGGCAAGCAGAGGGGAGCAGGAGAAGGCCGGAGTGCTGAGTCCGTGCTTGATTTTGCCACAAGCTGAGGCGCCGCAGTCAGACAAGCCAGGCCACTGGCCCTGTCCTTTCCCAAGTTACACTTCACAGAGTTCTCGCCTCTCAGACTTTCCTCCAAGGAATCTGAGGTAGGTACAAAACTCTCAAGCTTTGCTGGGTGTTAGTATTTCTACTAACAATGAAAGTTTCATTTCCTAAAGGTGTGCACAGCTGAGTTAAAACTCTCTGTGCCTCTTCATCTATCTGCACTACTTGTATTTCTATGCTGTTTGACTTGTAACATTTTAAAGTGTAAAATAGCAAAGTATAAATGGAATAATTAGTTACAACACTAAGGGAAAATATTCACGCGATCTAAGTTCAGACTCCTGGGCAACATAGTGATTAGCAGGTTATACATGCCATCCTGAGCAGCTCGGTGGCTTACGAAACTCTCCCTGTGGTTTTTTGTGGCACTTTGGCAATAATGTTGCTTTAATCACATAAAAGAGATCTCAGGAATCTTTTTTATCTCAATCAGGAGAGATCTTTAATTGTCTGCTGACACATGGGCTGAATTTCCTTGTCTGTTTTATCTACTTCTTAGCCCACCGCACCTCCACCCATTCCCAAGGAAAGCCCCCCAGGGCAGAGTGACCACAGATCATTGAAGAAAGTCCCAATTCAATTTATGTTCTGATTTCTGCTCTCTATTAAGAAGGAATTGGTTGGCTTTAGTAATGGTTGATAATGTATAGTCCTTCCTCAGGCAGGGAAATGTAGTTCTCTCCTCTGGTTTCAAGAGCAGTCAAACAGAACACAGTATACATTTTAAGGTGAGAAATAATATAGCTTCTTTATGCCACTTGCTGTCAAGTAACCTAATCCTGAGGGCATGGAATCCAGGAGGGACAAGTGTAAGTGAAGAAGACCAAGCAGGAAAAGATCAAACTCTCAAGGTCTTTGAAGAGGAGAAAGTCAAGAGAAGACCAGACAGGGCCTGTCAGGGAGCTGGAGCCAGTGTGGAGTCACTTGCTGTCATGGCACAAGAAAACTTTTCCAAACACTGGCAAGCACTGTGCTGAATAATGAAGAAAACTGCGTTTTAATAGGATGGATTGGGGAATGTGATCATTTGAGGTGCCCTCGCTGTGTTCTTCATTCTCCCGTCCCCTCCCCAGGCTCCAGGATACAATATTTCAAGTCAGATTAGAGTCCTATAAAGTTGGCCTTCGGTATGGCAGTTCCAATTTGCAGAATCAACCAAGGGTCAAAAATATTTTCTTTAAATTGCTCAACTGAACACTTACAGACATTTTTCTTATTTTTATGGCCTAAAGACTATAACAGCTATTTACTCTGTATTAGGAATTATAATTACAATTACAATCTACAAGTGATTTAAGGTATTTATCAGGACTGCACAGGTTATTAGCAAGTATTATGTCATATTACATCAGGAACTTGAGCATCAAGGACTTCAGTGCCCACAGGGGTTCCTAGAACCAGCCCCCCCAAGAAACCCAAGGCTGACCACACGTGTATACATGCAAATGTATGTACACATAGGCATATTCAGATATATTTATATATACATTGTAAATACACACAGATACGTAACGTAGCAAATGTCTACTCCACAAATGGAATCAACCATCATTTTTGTACCTAGAGTAACAGCTCTCTCAGGAAGAAAGTCTGTGCATGAGAATGTCATACACTTCCTCATTTTCAGTAAAGACCTGAAGTAAATACAGGGGTTTGATAACATCCTTTCTAAGTAATTATCAACTCACCTCAGAAACAGCGATGTAAGTATCATTCCGCATAGGAAAAAGAGGAAAGGAGAATGACTTAAAATCTTGAAAGTTGTAAATAATTTGCCCGACCATTGATAAAAAACCAAACAAAACATAAACAAAATGTCATCCCCAGCAGGCCACTGTGTGAATTGCTCTGAACTGGGTTTGCATCATTGGAAAAGATGGTAGAGCAGGATGTCGGCTAGCAAATCTCAGCCAAGCAAGAGGGGAGCTATGCTGCTCCACAGTAGGGTGTGGGGTGTTCCCAGAGGGCCAAGGGAGACACACTGAAATGAAAGCCACCAGTTGCTCTGGCTAGCAAAGGCCAGTAGGCTCCTCTGCCCAGCCTGGCTCCTCAGCAGCCACCTGCTTCCTGGATTGCTGCCCAGCAACAAACAAATGGCTCTTTCCCACTTCCTGTCCATTCATGGGGCAAGTGCGACTATATGCCTCACACTGTGGTCAGGGCAGGGAACACAGTATAAGAACTACAGAGAGTATCCTGCCCACTGGCGTACAAGAAACAAATACATCAGTGGACAAATAATTCAGTTATCAATTGTGAAAAGTGCATAACAATCACTAAGTCAAGATGTAAAATGCTCCTCTATTCATAATTTCTATGGAGCACAGAACCACAAATATGGGCATGGGCATAAGTAAATCTGGAAATGGAGGAATGCAGGGGTAAACTAGATAAGAAGAACTGTGAGAAATGTAAATAAGAAGAGGTTATGTCTTTATTCAAATATCAATGTTGCAATTTGACTCAGTGATGGAAAATATTAGGATTATCCTGCATTGCCATAATCTACTGATTTAACCTCTTACCTGAACAAAGGAATCCACTTTAAACAACAAAATTCTTTTCCATAAAGATGGAATACTTGCCAATATGTCAAGACTATCCTTAGGGAGATAATATTCTAATTTACTGACAACAAAGTAGAGAATCAAGGAATTAAGAACAGTAATTAATTTTGCCGCCTGCCTCCCAAGCGCAAGGACCACAGTTCAATCCCCGGTACAAAAAAAAAAAGAACAGTAATTAAGTTACATACCTTTAAGTGGCAAAGCTAGACTAAATTAAAAATGAAAAACGAAGCATCTGAAATGAATTTCCTACATGAAGTGGAGCAGATTGATAACCTCTGGATTTGATAGCTACCATGTTGCCTGCAGCAGACTTTGGACTTGACCCAGCCCCCTGCTGCTGGAAGTGTGGTCGGGGGCCACCAGGACAGAGTCTCCACCAGCCTCTCAAAAGTGCAGAAGCTCGGGCTCTGCACCAGACCCGCTGAATCCGACAGTTCACTAGATCTTGCATAACTGCACATTAAAAACTGACACTCAGACAACTAGGAGAGTTAGGAAATGCCTAACATTTTACTAAAAAGGGCTTGGAGCAACTAGACACCCAGGAACCCCTGCATTGCATTGCATTGCATTGCATCGCATTGCATTGCATTGCCCTTCCTTGGCCCCTGTTGCTTTCCTAATGTTGATCTCAGTGCTCTCTGTTCATAAGGATGTCTCAGGCTAGCCCAGTCTCCCTTTAGAGTCAAGTAAACTGGCAGAAAACCAATGGAAATGCAAATGGGGTCCCTTAGACAATTTCCTGTGCAAGATAGCATCCATATCAAAACAGAAACACAAGTCTTACTTACACACTTGACAGCACAGTTTTCCTGATCTACAGAGCTCCAAAAGTAACATCCTTGGATACACTGCAAGAGATAGCAACAGATAATGGTGATGGAAGAAATGCAGCTTTTCTTGTCACATGAAAGTGCAGAGCAACAAAAAGCATAACCTTATGTTTTAGAAATAGAAACTACCTGGGTCTGGGATTTAGCTCAGTGGCACCGCACCTGCCTTGCAAGCAGAAGGTTCTGAGTTCAAGCACTGGTACTGCAAAGAAAGAGGAGAGAGAGAGAGAGAGAGAGAGAGAGAGAGAGAGAGAGAGAGGAGAGAAGAGGGAGGAGGAGAAAGAGAAGGAAAAGAGGAAGAGGAAGAAGAG